TCAAGTAATGATTTGTACTTAGAAGTCAGATGCACGTTTCCAAGTAAAAGAATTCTGATTCTATAACTACAATCCTTCCAAGCCGTCGGTCTTACTTGAGTAATCAGGCCATTAAGGATTGGTACTTTCTTGATACAATTATTTTAGTTCTAGAACAACTATCATTCTTTTAAGAACTGTCAGTTTTACCTAGATGATTAGCCTATTAATAATATGTACTTACAAGTACAAAGCATGTACGTGTTTCCAAATAGAAAATTTGGTTCTAGAACAACTATTACTTTTTTCAAAAACAGCCAATCTTACCGAGTAATTAGCTTATTAATGATCGGAAACTTAAAAGTCAAATGAGCGTGTCTTGACAAAAGCACCCTAAGTTTAGGACAACTAATATTCTTGTAAGGAGTGTCGGTCTTAGCCGAGTGATTAGTCCATTAATGATTGGTACTTAGAAGCAATGCATGTTTCTAAATAAAAAAGAATGTAGTTCTAGACCTATTACAATTTTTTCAAGAACGGTCAGTCTTACTTGAGTAATTGGCCCATTTTGACTTAAAAGTCAGGCAAACGTTTCCAAATAAAAAATATCTCATTCTAGAACAACTATAATTCTTTCAGGAACTACCGGTCTTACACGAGTGATCAGCTCATTAATGATTGGTGTTTAAAAGTCAAATGTGCGTTTTCGCATTAAAACAAAATATAATTTTAGAACAACTACTATTCTTTCAAGAATTATCAGTCTTACCGGAGTGATTAGCCCATTAATACTTGTCACTTAAAAGCAAAATGCGTGTTTTTAAAGGCAAAAAAAATATATCTAATTGTTGACATCTATTTTTAATTACCCAAAATTAATTACACAAAAATTAGGGGTTAATGTCCTTAATTCCTAAACAAAAAAATTATTTAGTTCTAATTGCATGACATATAGACATTAGGTACATTTGCATTAATAGGACATATTGGAGCATATTTTCTTAATTAATTTAGAAAAAAAATTAAAATTAATAAAAAAAATTAAAAATTTGGGTCCGGCCGAGTCAACCTGGCCCTTTCTTTTTCTCCCACTTGCGCGGGCCCAGCCTGCTTTCTTTTTCTTTTTCCCCACTTGCGAGCTGGGCCCAGCCCAACCCACTCTTTCTTCTCCCCCCTACTTGCTCGGCCTTTCCTCTCTCCTCTATTCTCCCCTGCCCCTACTATCGCTTGGGACGACACGGATTATCCGCTCCACCGTGCAATCACGAAAGTCTTGAGTAGGGGCGGTAGGCCGGTGCAGGGCCTTTAATGGAGCAAGGCAGGTGACCGGTGACCACCATATAAGCCGGAGAAAAGAGAGAAGAGGGTCCAGTCAGAAAGAGAGCACACACAGAGAGAAAGATTTTCAAAGATTTGAGAGGAACCGAGAGAAAAAGAGCGAGCCGAGAGAGTTTGCAGATCGCCAAGGGACACCAACAGCCCCGCCGTTGCCAGCAGGATGACTAGAGACCCCCTCGGAAGCAATGTCGACCGATGAGTCTTCTCGGCCTCGGCATCCTCTATTTTCCCCTGTTTTTTAGCACAATTTGGCCAGGACTCGCACCGGTCGTAGCGCTCATATCTTGACCCATACCGTTGCTCCTCGTAGTCTATACATCGCCGCTAAAGGTAAGTACAGGTCACTGGAATACTCCGGAGCCCCGAAGTAGGTCAAAGACTCCCGTTTTTAGCTATGTACGCCAGGTGTTCGATGAAATACCTCAATGAGGCCAAGTTGATTTTGGTTGCCGACCGGCAATCAGGTGGTCGGACGGCGAGCCAAAGGAGAGAGGAGGTTTTATGATGGTCCCCAGAGGTGGAAATCAGCCTGGGATCGCCTTGGGTTGGCCAGTGAGATGCATGCCTGTGCATGCGGGAACCGACCTGACCCGGTTCATAACCTAGGTCAACGACCCGGGTTGACCCTCGAACCTTGTTCGGATCCGAAGATACGACCCGGGTTAACGATTTTGGGTCGGATCTGTTGACCCAGGTCAGTTCTGACCCGTTTCGGTTCCACCGACCCGACCCGAATATTATATTAAAATTATATGATTTTTAATTAAAAAATATTATTTTTTAAAAAAAATTAAAAATTTAAAAAATCTTTTTTATTTCTTTTAAAATTAAGAAATAGTTTAGAAACTAGTATTTTTGAATATTTTTTCTAGATTATATGAATTATTTGATTAATAATTATGTCTAAATCGGATAAGCCTATAGAGCTATACAGTAGGATTTTGCAAGTTATTTTTACTATTGTTGTATTACTATTATGCATGTTATTTCTAATTATAATATAATTGCATAAATTGCCATATTTTGAATATTGTCGCCTTAGTTAGGATTAGAACCTTAGGCTGCATATCTATCTTGACTGCTCATCATTAATAATTGTGCACTCGCTTGATCACTTCACATGTTAGGAGATAGGTCATAAAATCAATCCAAGATGCCTGACAAATATTTTCTAAAATAAACAGGATGAAAGGTACCGAAAGAGCATTAGTCACTCAATTAGTGTAATCAAGTCCTCGAACTCATTTAATCTCTAGTTCGGAGGAGTAGGGTGATTCTCCCATCACCTTACTTGGGTTTCTAGTTGACCTACCCTAAATTGATTAGTGGCGACTCTTAGATAAAAATCACTTGCATGTTAAAAACCTAAACCACAAGTCGCGGTATGGTATGGGCTTGGGAGAGCCCGAGTTAAGTCCCAGACTTAGACTTAGCACGTACCAGGCGAGACCCCCTTTCTCTTAAAATTGGAGGTCGGTTGCGACACCAATTCTAGACTAATGATTGTTCTTTCAAGAATTGTGAGTTTTACTCAATGTGCAATTTGGTCCCTAAGCTTTTAATTGATTTAATATGATTCTTGAACTTTTACACGATGTGTAATGTAGTCCATGAGCTTTTAATTTATTCAATGTGGTACCTGAACTTTTAGTAAATGTTCAATCTATTTCCTAAATTATTATATTCCTAGACTCATCTAGTCCCTGGATTATCTAGTCCATGGACAAAATTAAACATCTACCAAAAGTTTAATGACCACATTGAACAAATTAAAAATTTAGGGATCACATTGTATATTGGGTTAAAGTTCAATAATCACATTGAATAAATTAAAAATTCAGGAAACACATTACACATTAGAGTAAAGCTCATGGACTATTTATGTTATTTTCTAAAAATCAAATGCACCTGCTCAAATGAAAAAAATCTAATCACAAACAACTATCATTCGTTTAAGAACGGCCGGTCTAACCCTATGGTCTCTCCATCAAGCCTCAGAATTACAGAAACCGGGTGCACAACCACAATCAATTTCTAGACCTTTTCGTCGGATGCACTTTTTCGTACATCGAAGAACTGTTTTGCTTCGTCTTTACATGACGTGCAGGATCTACGCCAGCATAAAAGTTTGCATGTGACGCATGGCAGAGATAACAGGAATGTCACTTCTTCACGTGTTGGACAGACAAAGTAGACTTTAGTGTAACGCAGCATGTGCATCCAAAGATTCTTGGCCAGGCCAGTGACATTTCAAATTTAAAATGATAAAAACCTCAAATTGATATGTTTGTGATAAATTTATTTTAAATTAATGATGCACCTGTGACAATTTACCCTTTATAAGTTTCTGTTAAATTTTACCGTCAATTTATTGAGTTGGATGACACGTAGCAGTTGATGGGTGTACCGGTTTAGGATTTTACCTTTCGTTTGTCACGGGTGTACCAATTTGAGATTTTAATCCAATTTAACGGAAACTAACGGAGGGTAAATTTATCGCAGGTGTACCAGTTTTGATTTTTTTGGTGGTAAAAGATTAGTTTTTGATAAATTTATCACATGTGTATCAACTTAGAGTTTTTCGTGATATTAACCCAATTTAAAAATCAAGTTATAGTAATCAAAGATTCTTGGCCAGGCCGTTAATCTTGGCTCCAACCAATTGTTCTCTGACAATATATATATATATATAATGATGGTAGTTGCGTTTTGTATCGCATGCATATCCATGCTTAGTGACGAATAGAAAGGAAGGTTACTGGGCCTGTTGCTTTGTTGCAAGTTTTATGAAAAAATATGCAAAGAAAAAAAACCGTAATATCTCGCTCTTTCCAAGACTAAGTTTGTATTATAAATAAATTTCTTCTTTTCTTATCGCGAAACTTCGATTTCTACGCCCATCACTGTCGCCTTGATTAGCTCCTTATTTTAATGTTTTTTTTTATCAGAGGGCTCTTCAGCGTAGTAGTACTTAAAAATCAGATGCAGCATAAGATCAGAACTTTGAACTTATTCAAATGTGGAATCAAGTTCAAGATATCGATCAATTGTTTATCTCCAAATAATTATGGTTGTACAGTCCATGCAATCTGGTTTTCACCTAATTTTTGCCATTATACACGCTAGGGATTCCCTACTCCCAAGGAATTAGGACATTATATCTCAGTTAACTTATGCATAATTTATATATTTTGTTAATTTATGTCTCGACTTTATGTCCAAGAAAATTCAGTGGAATCCAAAATTTAGTGAAATCTAATCTTGAATTAAAGATAAAAAAGGAAGAAAATGAAATTTTCCTAGTTTTAGTTGGTAATTTGCATAATAACATATGAAAATGGAATTCTATTCGGTTATTACGCATTAGAGCAAACAAAATGAGTGTTTAGAGTTTTCTTTCTGTGTGTGATATAACACTTGAGAGTTTGCTTTGAGTGCAATCTAAGAACGGGAAACACTTGAATGATTGAGCGATTGTAACTCTATAATTCTCTAAATTAATAATGGATTTATTTGTTGTTGGCTCTCCTAGTACTGTAAGTACCGACACTTAGACCAAACCACATAAATATCTACCGTTGTTTATTATTCTTGTTGTTCTCTTCAAAGATTTCTTCTATTCGCGTTAAACTTGAATTGCAAATAGGGTTAGGGTGTCGAAGAAGATATAATGGACATGATCGATGGAGAAGCAGATGGTAGTGATGGTCTTGAGGGTTTTGTTCTCTGCCACTCTATTGCTGGAGGAACAGGCTCAGGTTGCAGGGTCAGGTTGCTTCCATGCTCTTGTATTTACATTTTTCACTTTTTTGTAGTTGAGATTGATGGACTTAGTGAGAACTGATATAAATCATAGTCATTCCCACTTGTTGAGGCTTGTCATTCTTTCGGAATGTGCTGGCCTATATTATGCTTAATATGCCCCAACCGTAGGATGGTCTATAATATTCTTGAGAATTAACACTGTTCAACTTCTCAATCCAAAATTGTTCTTTATTATTCTTGTTAGTCATTTTTTCGGGGTGTGCTGGCCTATATTATGCTTAATATTCTCAAGACTTCTCTATCGATCATGTCCATTATTCTTGTTATTCGTATCACTGTCTGGAAACGTATTTGCAATTATGTCTCGAGCTAGAGTTGGGATTGAGAAGTTGAACGGGGAAGAATGATTTTGGATTGCACAGCATTGAGATGTTCACCCCTGTTAAAAACCCAAGACTTGATGATGGTATTGGAGGGTAAGGATAAATTGCTCGAAATGATGAAAGCGACTGATAAGGTAGAGTTGGAGTAGACGAAAAGCATAATATTGTTAAATCTATCAAATGAGGTGTTGCTTGAAGTGGCCGAAGAGAAGGATGCCCTAGCATTGTGGACAAATTTAGAGTCTCTTTTGTTAAATGAAAGGTTTGAACAATTGCTTGTATATATTGAAAATGATGTTTCAGCAGGGTGTGTGAAGGCATATCCATCAAATTCCATGTAAAATAGTCTAACAAACTTATGATAGACTTGAAAAACATCAATGAGGCCTTGCTTAAGGAGAAAAAAGACATGATGTTGTTGGCGTCTCTACCGGATTCTTTTAAGTTCTTTACTAATTTAATATTACAAAGGGCATACTACACTTATCTTAGAAGAGGTAAAGTCCTTCTTGTTTGCTGAGGAGTGGGAAAAGAAATTGCCAGTATATAACTTAGCGAAGGATATAGTGTATGGTTTGGTTATCCGAGGTAGAGACTAATGCATAAGGTCTAGAGGTAGCAGATAGAGAGCCATTTTAAATCAAGGTCCAACTTTCGAAATCAGCAATGCTGTCGTTGCAATGAGGTGGACATCACATGAGAGATTGTCAGAATAACAAGGTAAATGAGTTAAGGTGGAGTTTGCCGGTGATGATAATGTTATTAATATTGTAGATAATAGTTCAAGCAATCATGATAATGTGCTAGCAGACACCACGAGTTCATCAGGCAATGATTAGGTGTTTGATTTTGAATGTTTTTAGATGCAACTTTTCATGAGGATAAAATAACTACCTATTAGTATACCGAGGTTGGCAAGGTGTTTATGGGAAACAGTGTTGCTTGTGAAGTGGTAGCGATCAAAACAGTTCAGATTATGCTGCAAGATGGAGTGCTGAGAAGAATGACTGATGTAAGGAATGTACAGGAGATGAGAAAGAACCTTATCTCGTGAGTGCTCTTGATGAATTTGGATACTGGATCTTAGTTGAATGTGGAGTTTTGAAGGTCTCTCGAAATATGCTAACTGTGATGCAAGTGAAGATAGGTTGTAGGTTATATCTCCTCTAGGGAACGACACTGATAGCTTATTTATTAGATTCTCAAAGGCTTCAGATTAGGACAAGACACATTTGTGGCACATAACACTCGCACATATGAATGAGAGATAGATTATGGTTCTAAATCAATCTACTAGCAAGTCACCGGACCGAGAAGGTGAACTTCCGTGAACATTGTGACATAGGTAGTCAGTGCAAAGAGTGAATTTTAGCACAGTAGTTCACCAGACCTCATAATTTGTTAGGTTGTGTACATTCAAACTTATGGGGATCTCTCATGTTTTGTCCAAGGGTAATGCCAAGTATGTATTGTTCTTTACTAATGATGGTTCATGGAGGATTTGGATTTTTAAGAATAACAATGAGGTGCTTAGTTGGTTCAAGTCATGAAAAGCAATGATCAAAAAGTAGATATGAAGGTAGATCAACTACTTGAGAACTGACAAAAGGTTCGAATTCTATTTTGAGGAGCTTAGCCAATTTTGCATAAAGGAAGGCATATGAAACATCGCATTGGTGCCAACATACCATAGCTAAATGTGTCGCAGAATTGATTAATTATTTTGGAGAGAGTTCTCTCTTTATTCTCAAATGCTGGATTAACTGAAGATATTTGGGTCAAAGCAGTGAATACTGCCTCTTGGTGTGAATAGATTATGTCACCACAATTGATTGGAAAAATCCCAAGGAAACACGGTCGAGAAGTCTGCTAATTACATTAAACTGAAAGTGTTCGGTTTCCCTACTTATGCTCATATGACTAATGGCACGCTGGAGCCTTCGGTAAGGGGTAGATATTCTTGGGGTATGCATGGGATGAAGGGATACATGCGGTGGTGCATTGAGGAAGATTTAGCCCAGTTTAGGTTGAATAAAGATATAACTTTTGACAATTTTGCTCAGTTTGAGAAGAGGAGTGATGGTTTGATTGCTGAGGAAGATTTAGACATTGTTAAAAAATAGGCAGAACTTTAGGGAGAGTCTAGAGATGATAGTGTTTAAAGATTTAGACAGTGTTCAACGTGTATTCGATATGATAGTGTTTATAGAATTGCTGGAATTCCTTGCAGCTAACAATTATTCCCAGTTAATACTTGATGAAGCGTCAAGGTGGTTAGCAAAGTGTATGGGCTATAGCAACAACTGGATGCAGATGGTGAGATAGATGATTTGGGCGTAGCGGCGATAATTTTAGACATGGAGATACAAAGAGTGAAGACTGAATGTTGCGAGTAACTTGAAAGAGCTACGCCGGAAAAGTGTTGAGGTGCTTCAACATGCAATTGAGAAACTCTGTAGGTGTCACGCCCCGACCCTCGAGCGCGCTAACATCCCACCAAGATCGTTATAAATACGACGTCCCAGGATGCATCGCCGACCCAATCGAATTACTAACGATTAAACGCATGCAGAAGCGAACTAAAAACTCCCAATCACAACAGCAGGGATAGTCAGGAAAACACACGTCAATTTAAACAACATCATCAGCAATACATGAGGTTGATATATTACAAGTCCGCCACGCGGACCTTCCTGATTACAACCAGAACAGATAGGGGTTAACCTAGCTCCTCTATCTACGAGGATGACCTCAAAAGGTGTTTTCCCTCAAAAAGTCGGTTCCCAAGGAACGGTATGTGTACTCATATCGGATGACCTGAAAAGTGGTTAACAACAACGGATGAGATAAATCTCAGCGAGTTCACGACCTAAGCCTCGACTAGGAGGTCAACTCATCTCGGATGTACCTAACATATGCAACGATACATCGATGGCAGACAACTCAATATAGAACATACAGGTACTTCACAACACAATCACAGGCAGCCTTACCTTGCCTTGGCATATGCACATGCCCTATACGTTATAATTCACCGTATGCCATGATAATGCAATAAGCATATAATGCAATCAGAATACGCATCAACCTTCTCAAGCACAATGCATTCACACGTGTCCTGATTATAAAGTGAAACCGCTTCGGCCCGTCCCATACCGTGCCTAGCAATTTCATCCCATAATCAAGCGCAATGCCACCACAATCTTTCACGCGTATTCCAATTACTATAGCCACACCAGGGGCTACGGCACAACCCGCGATATTCGCCTCAGGTTGGCAGTCTTCCGGTATATCCGGGTATCGTCCCGCCCCATCGGGCACGGCATCGTCTCACCCAACCACAATGACGGCATATCCCATAAATGGGTTCATTCCGAATCCGATTCGCGAATGACTACGTCTCCCCTGCTACCAGCGACGGCTTCCAATTACTAAATTGGGTACACCCGTTAGGGCCACGGCCAAACCCTAGGTTGGCGGTCATCCGGTATACGGTTTTCCGATATAACCGAGCACGAAGAGAACCTTTAAGTGATCATGCACACATAGCAACACTCATGTTCCATCATTATAATTTTCAATAGCCGATGCAAACATGATCCGTGCTAACACGTTGAAATATCGCAACTTCCACACGTAAAAATGTACTAAAATATTCACACGTGATTATGCACATATCAATAAATTCCCAAACTTGGCATGCTTCTATATTCAAGTACCCACAACATATTTCTTACGTAAAACTTAACAAATAAACCCGACACCTCAAGGTTTATTAATTAAATACCCGTAATTCTATATTTCACCATAACCAAACAATTCAATTTGGCATACAAACCAATATATAAGGCAAATTCTAGCTTAGGCATCACAATTTAAGCTTAAAATAAACACAATTTAATTTCGGAATTTCCACAAAAATATTAATAAAATAATAATATTTTTAATTCCGAAAATTAATAAAATATTATTATTTAATTCCCAAAAATTAATATAATATTTCAATAGCTTAACAATTAATTCCTAATTAATTAACACTAAACATAATTAACTTAAACTAATCCGCTCTAATCAAGTTTAACCTACTAAGCAAGAGATTAGTGCGAAAACTCACTCGTTAGCGAATCCGACGACACGAGCGCGACGGCGGCGGCGAGGGCTACGCGTTGCATGGTCCGAAAACAACACGGAACGATGACACACGGCCGGAATAGGGCTGAACAGCAGCCACAAAACCGGTTTGGCTTCGGTGAGGCGATCCGGCACGGCGAAGGAGCGGCTGCTGTGGTGGCTGGTCGGGGCTGCTTGGGGGCTGATCCGGGCATGTAATGGTGTCTGGTGGTGTAGGCTAGGTGGCTGGACAGCAGCGGAGCAGCGGCTGCAACGGCGGGGACGGACAACGGGCGACGAAGCTAGAAGCTTGGCTGGAAAACAGCCGGCGACGGGGGCTGTTTCCGGCGAGAAATGGACCAGTCCGGCGGCTGGAAATGAAGAAGCCGAAGGGAGCAGAACAAGAAGCAGCAGCAGCGAAGCAGAAGCAACAGCAGCAGAGGAGCAGAAGCAGCAGCGGTGAAGAAGCAAAACCAACGAAGAAGGAGAAGAAAAGAATAAGAAGAAAGAGAG